TCCGACATTATTAAAATATGAATTCATCCTGTATGTGAACAGTTCTGACTGATGGTGTAGTGGTATACGGAATATTTTCTTAGCATATATTGGGACCATTAGTACCAATAATAGATCGTCTAAACGTCGCAACTTGTCTTGTCTTTTTATTACCCCAAGCAAGACAATAAAGACACTAAGACGCCTTTGTGTTGTTTTTGACCTCACGTACTGCAGTTTATGATTACAGTGCCACCATCCCCTGACAACTACTTCCAGCAGGACAAGGCAAGTGTTACAAATCAGTTTTCTGCGTTAAAGTGGCCTCTACGGTTACCAGATCTCATTCTCACAGACCACCTTTAGGATATGGTGAAAAGATAGAGAATCGAATTCTGGATGTGCAACCAACCAATCTGGAAGAATTGAGGGATGCCATAAAACAACATGGATCCAAATTTCGAAGGCGTGCTTCTAGAACGTGATCGAATCTATGCCAAGAAGTGAGGCGCTTCTAAAGGGAAAATTGGCCCAACACACTTCTAGAAGTGTATACCGAATAGAACGAACTGTGTGTGTGTGTTTGTATGTTTGTGTGTGTGTGTTCGTGTGTGTATGTGTCTTTGCTAACCAGTAACAATGCACATAATGCTAATATGCACGTTTCCCTAATAAACATTTAGGTGAATATCTATGCTACTATGTAGATGCAGATATTTTTAAAGTCTGTCTTAATGTGCACACATAAAATATGATTTCCAGATATCTACCTGTTCATTTGCCACCATCTTTCATGAATGTATATACGTACTTAGAAATATATTTATTCTCGGTCCTAGAATTATCTTCATGCATATTCAAAACTGCAACTCCTAAAACAAATACATAAAATATAAAACATATATGCATAGCATAGATAATGTATATTATGCGATTTCAGCTTCGCTCAGGATTGCTTCATAAATACATAAATGTCTTGTCTGCAACAAAAAATGGAATGGGAGATGAACAAGATGGCGTATCGAGTGTCTTCAGTTATTTCCGAAGCCTTCGGCTTCATGTCGGCACATACATTTAATAAATAAATGCTTTATATATATATATATATATATATATATATATATATATATATATATATTTTAAATAGATTAAAGTAAGGAAAAATAACGTAATTGCTGTAATGTGAAAATTCTGGCTTTTATAGATTACCGATAAGTGATAAAACATTTTAATAAGAACTGACAGGATATCAATAGTGACCACAAGTATTTTCAAAAAAGAAATAATCTATTTGTCGAACACTCGTTTTTGTGTACAGATGTGGAGGGGGGTGCTGATTAAAGGAAAAGACTAGACAGGAATCTTTATGAAATTTTATTTACGCCGTCAGTACTTCATCAGCAACTCTCAGCCACTCTGTGATACGACCACCACATGTGGGCCATATATTCTCCGTCTAATGTGTGTGAAAGGCTGCTTCAAACATCATTGTAATAATTTCATCCCCTCCCCCAGCAAAGCAATAAAGTCACTTAAACACGAGAGGTTACTGAGAGTGAAAGAATTAAAAAAAAAAAATATTATTAAGGAGCGAAAACAATAAAAAATGAATCAATAAGACAGTAGATAACGATTAGCATTGCATTTAAATTTTTCAAGATCAAAGTTGGCTGAAAAGCAAGAATCCGGAAGAGAGTTCGACAAGCGAGAATAGAATTTGTCTGCACAGAAGTTAAGATTAGATTTAAGCAAAAGTCATAATTTAATATATGCTACAAAGCACAAGAAGCTGTGGAGAGCTATGATCGCCCACGTCCTGAAGGGACAAGTCACATAGAAGAAGAAAAAGTTGCGGTCTGAAACCGATTCCAAAATAACATCGAGGTATGACTTTTTCAATTGACAATTGTTTTCTTTAAGAATTTGTCAGAAGGAAATCGTAATTTGAAATTTAGTCTGTTACTCTATTCGATTCGATTATTTAGGCTAAAATAAATGACATCTCTCACGTTATAAGGTAATTCATCGCTAAATACAAAAAAGAAAGTCTACCCACTCAAAAGCTAGGCGAATTTATTTTCTCTACTGTGTCGACCATCTTACAGCCATATTTAACACCATCTTCCCGTGTTGCAAAAATGCATAACAAAGACTTGATTACACGATTCAAGATCATTGATCTCTGCAGATTTTTTTACGTTGTTCATGGCTCATTATTCTTCGTAAAAGGCCGGTAAATCATGTCTGGGCCTCTTCAATTATTTTCTGATCTACAGAACATACGTTCGGACACCATTTTTTAAAATAATTTTCCTATAATGGATTGAAAATGGGCGGGAAAGAGAACTCGTGATGACAGCAAATGCAATCCGTATAGAATGCACGGTATTTCATCTCTAGTTCCTTCTTTCTTGCCATCGTAAATGAAATGGATAAGAAAAAAAAAGATTTTACAGCACGTGGCAAATTACAATTACTTTGTAAGAGGGCATATTAGGAGCTAATAATCGAACTTAGGTGACCTGGGAATCAATGAACTAATTCTTCCCGCCCGATTTACCTTCTCTTTGATCTCTCGTTCATACTTGATTGTAATGGAGCTGATGGATACA